TCAGTCCCAAACACCGGACTTAGGACCCCTCCTTACTCCACAAAACAATGCTCCACTCAGTTCACACCCACACACTTGGGTTTAACAACCAGGTTGAGCACAAACAGTACCAAATTCCGGACAAAACAGAGGTAATATTCGACAGATTTTAGACCTGTATAGTTTTAACAGTCCCAACCTACCAGAATTCCAGAATGTCCAACAACCACTAATCAGCAAGAGAGATCCTTCTTACTTATAGTCAACTCAAACCATTGAGAAGACAGGTCATCGTTGACCTACAGTTGTCTTAACACATGTACAGGATCACACGATCCAAAAAAAGGGGGTTACACACATTCGACAGCATTCAGCCACTCAGACTCATAGGGTTTTCACTTGGCACATGACCAAGGAGGGTAAAGAAGAGAGAAACAGGGAGAACTGTACCAGTTGTAGCTTTTCTTTTTCAGTCCCGAATCAGATTTCTATTCCGCCCAGGTTCTGCTAGTCCATTCGATCTGTTCTTCTCAGTAGGGTTGTTCGATCTGTTCTCTTTAATTAGTATTCCTGCTCTGATACCATCTTGACAGTATGGCCGACCAGAAGAGAAGAGAAGAGAAGAGAAGAGAAGAGAAGAGAAGAGAAGAGAAGAGAAGAGAAGAGAAGAGAAGAGAAGAGAGGAGGGAAGAAAGAAGGGTTTTGCAATGTAACAGTGCTGGCGGCGCCAGCCTTTATTTTAATATATATAGGGCGGCAGAAATAACAAGGGAAAAGACCCTTGTGCCCCTGAGTACAATAACAGACATAACAGAAAGAAAAAAACGAAATAAAAAACACTTTAATTAGCCAAACAGGCCCTAACATCAACAACTAAATTATTTTAACATTATTTTAACAATAAACAAGCATTGGCACATGATAAAAGTTTTCGAGTCTGCAGCCACTGAAAGCATAGCAGCGGCACCAGACTCAAAGGGCAAGCCTGATTGACCAACCTGAACTATCCATACTGACTTAATCGCTCATGAACACAGCCCCAATGCTCAAAAGGATCAAACTACCAAGAGTTGAAAGATGTACCAATATCATCATCTTTCATTCCTCCTCTTCTAGGTCAACCATTTGAAGCAGAATTAAAATATACCATTCAAGAAATAGCCTTTTGTCCTTCACTGAATGACGCTTCACTATATTGAAACACAGTCCCTATCTACTATCATCCCTGTAAAATAGAAAGAGAGGTTTCCATGTTAAATAAGAGAAGCATTAATTAAAAACTACAATGACATAAAATTCACCTAAAAATGATAAAACACACATCACTAGAAGGAAAAGACCCTGTCTCTTTTTCAAGGATTTTAAAGATAAAGAGCATTTTGTAGGGGTACAGTTTAAATCAATTAAAATAAAATATAAATCATGGTTTAATTGGTGAAATAAATTTAGGTAAGCAAACATGCCTTTAACAAATAGATGGTAGGTGAGGAGTAAGGTGAATGATTGAGACTAGGTATTTTATTCCATTATATAATCAAAAGCTCAAACAATGATGAACAACATAAACATAGGGGTTCCTCATATTGTGGGTCTTTAGAAATGGAACCACACTCTTGAATTTAAAGAATAAGGTCATGAGGAGTATCAACTCCAAAACCACAAAAATGAGGTTAGATCATGCTTCTGTACTTGCAGATGGGCTAAAGTTTGGAGCCTACAGTTTCAGGTTTTCATGTCCTAGTCAATTTTGAATTTGAAGGGAGTATCGACTTCAATGAAGTCCCCAAATTGAGGAAGGGAAAGGTTTGCCCATAAAATTGTGCATATATTGCTTGTCTTGCAGAAGAAAATGAATAAAGTATAAATGCAACTCAACTCAACCTTAATCATGATTATTTGGGGTTGGATATATAAATCCTGTCCTGCCAACTATTCTCTATTAATGACCACGTTTTCTGTCAGACCGTAAGTTTAAGAATCATTTTTTACTTATTTTAGAAGACAGTTCTTTAGTCTTCCCCTTCTTTTTTAGACCCTTCTACTTGTACCAAATCACTCCTCAACAGTGTAATTTGTTGAATGTAGTAATAGAAGTGGAACTATTGGCTATTTTCAGTTTCTCTTTTTCTTTTTTATGATTCTTTAGTTGTTGGACCTATTGTCATTGGGCTATGGGCTATTTTAATTTTTTATAGGTCATTTGTTATTGCCACCTCACTAGGGGCACCGGTAATAGTAGAAAGGTTTGGATAACCTGTTTTGATATACAATCTGTAAAAGAAAGAAGAAAAGAAAGATGTGAAAAGGTTTCAGCTAAGAAAGAGAGAGATGAGAGATAGAAGAGAATGAGAGAAGCTTGGAATAAGGTCTGGCCGCCCCTTTCATTAGATTATATACTCATAAAAAAGAGAGTGCAAAGACAAGTATGCCCTTAGTAAGTCAGCTACTTGTGAGAACTTGAAAAACACTCTTAACTTAAAACATAAACTAATGGGCCTAAGGCCCAAACTCCCTAACTATGCTATGCAAATAAAAAAACATGTTATATTAGCACAAAACTCAACAGTCCCCCTCAAGTTGGGAATAAATGTCACATATTCCCAACTTGAGTAGATCATGTTTCAGCTTGTTTCTTGCAATTCCTTTTGTAAGAACATCAGCAAGTTGCAAGTCAGATGCAACATATGACAAGCAAACTTCTCCGGATGTCACCCTTTCCCTTATAAGTGTTTATCCATTTCTATATACTTCGTCCTATCATGCTGAATTGGGTTGTGGCTAATGTTAATTGCTGCTTCATTGTCACAATATACCATCATAGGTTCTTCAGCCTTAATTCCAATATCCCCTAACAAGGAATGGATCCAGCGGACCTTTGAAACACCATGTGCCATGGTTCTGTATTCAGCTTCTGCACTTGACCTTGCCACAAGTGTTTGTTTCTTACTCTTCTATGAAACTAAATTACCTCTAGCAAGAGTACAAACTCCTGTTGTAGTTCTTCTGTCATTTAGGCACTCTGCCCAATTAGCATTTGTGTAAGCCTCTACCTTCAACTGTCCATGGTCAACAAACGATATGCCTCTACTTGGGTGTCCATTCAAATAGGAAAGTATCCTGTCAATAGCCTCTTAATGCTGAATTCGTGGGGCATGCATGTATTGACTCCCCACACTCACTATATAAGAGATGTCTAGTCGTGTCATACATAAGTATAGCAACCACCCCACTAACCTCTGATATCTTCCAACATCCTTCAGTAGTACACCCTTTGAAGCATTTATCCTGTAGTTCTGATCAATAGGTGTATCAACTGCCTTTGCCTTAAGCTATCCTATCTCCTATAGTAGATTTAGAACATACTTCTTTGTGAGATGAAGACCCCATGCTTGGACCTTGCCACTTCAATGCCAAGAAAATACTTAAGCTCCCTAAGATCCTTAATCTCAAACTTTTTGTGCAGATTCTTGTTCAGGGCATCAATCTCACTCAAATCATTTCCTGTAACTACAATGTCATCTACATAAACTATCAAAAGTGACACTAGTGAACCCCACCTCACCAATGCACTTCTAAACCTATTAAACCAAGTTCTGGGTGATTGTTTTTAACCATATAGGGACTTCTTCAACCTACATACCTTTTCTTTTTCCACATTATTGTAGAATCCAGCTGGAAGGTCCATATACACCTCCTGCAAGTCCCCATTGAGAAAAGCATTCCTCACATCAAGTTGGAAGAGTGGCCAAGAGTATGTAGTTGCTAGTGATAGAAGAATTCAAACTGAATTCATCTTCGCCACTGGTGCAAAAGTTTCCAAGTAGTCTATGCCATAAGTTTGAGTATACCATTTTGTAACTAGCCTCGCCTTATACCTTTCTATACTCCCATCCAATGTTTTAAAACGCGGAGGCGTGACGTGAGGCGTTCCACTACCTAGAGGCATTAGGCGTAGTTCAGAACGCAAGATGCATAAGCCTCCCGAATAGAAGGAGGCGTAAGCCTCCTTAAGAGGAGGGGGGTTAGGAGGAGGATGAAAAGAGTAGAAATCTACTGAACTTAAAAAATATGAATAGAAAAGTGGTTTCTTGAAGAGAGGAGGAGAGAAGGAGAAGAAGAGAAGAAGAGATCTTGAAAGAAAAGAGAGCAATAATTTGGCCACCCCCTTCACTTTATTATTTATACTAAAAATGATAGAGCAGTACAAAGAGAACTATGCCCTTATAGGGCGGCATTACATAAAACAACATATATAAGAGCCAAAAACATAATAAAATTTGGACTCACATAACTATTGTGGTCCCCACCTCCTATGTAACAACTAACATAAAATATTTACTCAGAAAAACAACATAAAATTGATTAATCTTAACACTCCCCCTCAAGTGGAGTAAATGTCACATTCCCAACTTGCGTAGATCATGTTCAAGCTTGTTCTTTGCCACCCCTTTAGTGAGAACATCAGCCAATTGCAACTCTGAAGAGACATAAGGCAAACAGACTTCTCCGGTTGTTACCCTTTCTCTTATAAAGTGTCTATCAACTTCAATGTGTTTTGTCCTGTCATGCTGAATTGGATTGTGGGCAATATTGATTGCAACTTGATTGTCACAGTACAACATTATAGGTTCCTCTGCTTTCACCCCAATCTCACTCAAAAGAAATCTAACCCAAAGAAGTTTTGAGACACCATGAGCCATGGATCTATACTCAGCTTCTGCACTTGACCTTGCCACAACTGTTTGCTTCTTACTCTTCTAGGAGATCAAGTTTCCACCTACAAAGGTATGCACTCTTGATGTAGACCTCCTGTCATCTAAGCATCCTATCTAGTCTGCATCTGTATAGATTCTAGCTTCAGATTTGTCATGATTTGAGAAAAGAATGCCTTTGTCAGGGTGCTTTTTCAGATATGCAAGTATCCTCTCAATAGCTTCCCAGTGCTGAACCTGAGGTGCATGCATGTACTGACTCACAACACTGACAGCATAAGAAATATCTGATTGTGTCATACACAAATACAACAGTCAGCCCACGATTCTTTGATATCTCCCCACATCCTTTACTGACTCACCATCCACACTGTAGTAGGTCAAGTACATATTTTCTCTGTGAGATAAAGATCCCATGCTTGGATTTTGCAACTTTAATCCCCAAGAAGTATTTGAGCTCACCAAGATCTTTGATCTCAAATTCTTGTTGCAATGATTTTTTGAGATCATTAATTTCCTCCAGATCATTTCCTATAACCAATATATCATCCACATACACAATCAAAATTGACACCATAACATCTCTCCTCTTTACAAAGAGGGTGTGATCGGACTGGGTTTGAGTGTATCCAAAATGGATAAGTTCCCCTCTGAACCTGTCAAACCAAGCCCTAGGTGATTGTTTCAGGCTATACAGAGATTTTCTGAGTTTGCACACCTTTCCTTTACCAACATTTTCATAAAAGCCTGTTGGAATGTTCATATATACTTCCTCTTGTAAATCACCATTGAGGAAAGCATTTTTGACATCAAGTTGGGACAAGGGCCATGAATAGGTGGCTGCTAGAGATAAAAGGATACGAACTGAACTCATCTTAGCTACCGATGCAAAGGTTTCCAGATAATCAACACCATAGGTCTGAGTATACCCTTTTGCTAACAACCATGCCTTGTACCTCTCTATCTTGCCATCGGCCCTATACTTCACTGTGAATACCCATCTACATCTGACTGTCTCCTTGTCTGGGGGGAGATCAACTATTTCCCAAGTGTGGTTTTTAACCAATGATTCCATCTCTTCTTGCATGACTGTTTTCCACTCAGGTTTGGAGAAAGATTCAGTATCATTCATGGGTATAGACACAGAATTCAAGGAGGAAAGAGTAGAAAACTTGTTGATTTAAAAATTATGAAATAAAAGGAGTTTCTTGAAGAAAGAAGGAAGAGAGAAAGAAAATAAGAGAAGTTGAAAAGAAAGGAGAGCAATGATCTGGTCGCCCCCTTCACTTATTATTTATATTAAAAATAATAGAGCAATACAAAGACAACTATGCCCTTATAGGGCGACAATACATAAAACAACATATATAAGACACAAAAACATAATAAAATTTGGACTCACATAACTACTGTGGTTCCCACCTCCTATCTAACAACTAACATAAAACATCTACTCATAAAAAACATCATAAAACTGATTAGTTTTTAACACACCCCCTCAAGTTGGGAGTAA